ATGGTTGTTGTGTGGTCTACTGCCTTTCTGTGCTATTTCTTCTGATGAGTGTAGCAGTATCCGTTGTGGTTGGCATGAGTCTTTTCGGATTGGGTGTGCTTTTAGGTGAGTCTATTTTGCTTGGAAATCTACCCCATCCTCGTATGTGTGGTACTAATCAACCGCACTCTCGTTGACAGGTGAAGGTTGTACATACATCATGAAAGAAATAGGGTATAACAAAACCGACCACATATTGAACGGACTTGGAGAAGACTACTGGGAGACACTATTGATGAAGTACTCGGACAAGTGGCTGAATAAGTCAATTTTCCCGCCTCCCAAGAACATAATCAGAGCTCTCTCGAAAGTTTGCAAAACTGAAAACGGAGACATTGATAAGAGTCTGCTATTTGCCCTGGGATATCGAAGTACTTCCATCGACTTTAAAACTCTACTGTCCAATCCGAAGGTGGACGAAATGATCAAAGGTCTTTGGGAGTAAGATAGCACTTAGAATCCTATATTACATGCCTGCTGTCTATGCACTTAATATACTGAAATTATACCTCTCAGTTTTAGTGAAGCGAGCAGGCAGATAATCACAACAGGCTTTGTCTTCAACCTCGACAAGTTTATTACTTCACTTGAATCACTAAACACAATAGACCAACTTTTCAACAAGCATAACGTGATTGTAAGTTTTCACGGAAAATTCCTAAAGTTTTTATTATCTGTTAATCTTCTCCCAGTCATTTCTTACATTTAGTCGCACAACAGTACTTTTTCAATCACGCCTTCCGAGTCGAAACAACTTTTAAACCATTTCCGCGGACGAGAATTAAATAATCTTAGCTCTACAATTCAGTATATTAATGCTATGGCGATAATCATGGATGAAGAAATTTCAAAAATTAAAATGGAATTGAGAGAAACTTGGCTACATGTTGAGAATGTATTGCATGCAGTTAGTGGATTTCGCTCAGTGAGTACATTCAACAACTATTGAATTGTTTGCCTGAATCGATTCTTCATTTCATTTGTTAATTTTCAGTTGATAGTAGATACGAAGAAATTGGAGAGGAAGTTCGAAGGAATGTCTGACAAACTTGTGTTGGAAATAAAACCCTGGTTGGCTGTTCAAGCCACAGCATACCTAGACGAATTTACAAAGAGGCTGATTCCTTGTGGAGAAGCACATAAAGCATTCTACGTTGTCACTGAAGCAACCTGTGGTGAAACCGGTCTTCTACATCGATTCATGGCTTACGTTTGCATTCTCGGTATAAATGTCTTCTGTCAAGCCCTCTTTGCCCTAATATTCCTCCTTCTTAACTCGTCCAAAACCAGGAGGGGATGAACTCCCTCCCATTCATTCTCGATGATCATCATCCTGACTTGTTCAATGAAATTAGACTAATAGAGATTATAGTAGTAATATGGACCCATTCTTTGTGTTGGTATGTTTGCTGTGGTCGTGGTGTCTATCGATCCGGACAAAGTAAGATAAAGTATAATTGTGAACTAGCTGAACCTTGTCTCCAAATTATTTCATTTCGTCAATACTTATGCCTTCGCATTACCAAAAAGTATGAAGTTCCTCTCATTAAGTTAGCAGAGGTCTATCAACTTGACAATAGTTGTGTCCTCTCCCAGTTCCAGGACCCTGATTATGTCCAAGAAACTCCGCTTTCCTATTATTAATTGTCACACCAATAGCTATGTAATTTTGCGTTTAGTACCTCACCCGAATGGGAGGATTCAGGGACTTGCCATTCCTCCCACTTCTGCATGCAACAGGATCGACAATTTAGCAGCGTTAGATGGAGTTTATTGTCAGTGGTTTAAAAACTGAAGTGGACACTTTAGTTGAATTAGAAAGTATTTTGTCCATGTTCGTGTGAGAACCATCTAATTTAATGGCTATGACTACGTGCTTTTGGAAGATAGAGCATCAATGTCACTTCTTCTTTCCACTTGGGCAAAAATGTTACCACTTTCCGACGTTGTACTAAGGGCACCATTGTAAGGTGTGTAAGATTTTAGCTTAAAATAAAACGCAAACGGTGCAAAGTAATTCCGCGTCGAGAAGCCACAGCGTTTTTCTTCATAGAGCAGAGGTGAGCAGAGTAGAAATTGGGTTAATTTCGACTATCCAAATGACCCAATTAATGGGTTACACACTTTGTATAGGAACTACCAATCGTTAAGAGAGCTATAACTCCAATAATCGTCTCCTGAAAGGCTTCAATGTGCAATTACTAGAAGGATTTTCGAATAGCCATCACCAACTCATTGGAGTAGACATTTTAGATTCTTCTAACATCTCCAAGCTCTATTGTTAATGTGAATACCAATTATATTCTATTTTACTCAATTATTGGAACCATTCTGAAATATCTGCCCTTAAGAATCCTCTTTGATGGAACTCGGTGTTTTACCGATTTTCGCCCAAGCACTTACTTAGCCTGTCTTTGTTGGAAACGCACAAGTCACTCCTGACAAAAGTTTCGGCTGAATTCGTCACTTAGTCCTCTACCAAACTTAGCTTCCTCCAATTGTATCAATTGCGCTCGATTGGCAGTACGTAGGGATAACAATGTCGAAAAACCAAAGTTCTGGTTTCGAAGGAAGAATCACACATTCTTTTACCATTTGGCACCGAGTCTGAATGCCACATCATTGAGTTTTTGTATTGTGTCGTATTTGTGTTTGCAGCCTAAACTTTCCCGTTCAGTATCTTAATCTATTTGCCAACTTACCTCACCACCCCACCCACAAATCCTTACAACATTTTAAGAAGAACTGTCGGTCACAAATAGCGAAACCAAATTATCGACTTCAGCATCCAGCAATGAGACAATGATCAGTTTACTGAATTTAGGTACAGTCTACATGAGTTACTCAAATCATCGTTAATTGAGCTCAAGACACTTGGATTATTTGAATTGGCACTACTCTAATAGATCTCGGGCTAATTATGAGTTTATGGCTCTTTCAGAATCTGAGCTCCAATCTCCCTAAAACCCGTCATCTTTGGTGGCTATCCAAGTTTGGATCCTGATATGTAAAGCCTGTTCAATTGCGTCATAGACTTTTCTGAGTAGAAAATTAGCTACAAGATGTGAGAATGATTCTCGTTCCAAGTTCGTACAAATTTCTAATTTGATTTAACATGAGTGAATCAACTCAATTCCAGCACTTCCTTATGGACAGTAGATAAGTTGAGAATCTGGTCGCGTTGCTATCGTTTGAGTAAAATCTCTCTACAAGCTCCCTTGCGTTTTCCTACCTCACTTATGACAGAACTGAGTAAGTGCTCCATCAATGTCATTCACCACATCACACTTTATTCGGTATTCTCACATTTTGAGAAAATTTTGATTCTACCTCTTCAATTTATGATGGAGATCTATTTACCCCCAATTTGAATAAGCTTTAACATTTATGCATGTCAATTTCTGTTGCTGGATCTTCTTCACTTTGACCTCATTTGGCGTAGTTTATTTTCTAAAGTTTCAAGAAATTTTGAACACAATGAACTAGGTGACAAGTGAAATCACCCGTTAAATTGATACTAGGTCTTACGTCTCTCAAAACATCAATGACAAGTTGTGAAATGAAGCTATCTCTTGGTATTGAGATGAATAGTCAGCTGATTCATAATAACTTCTTATACTGTTGTTGTTGGGGTTGATCCATAGATGCATTATGGAGTTCACAATTTCTAAGAATGCCATGAACATGAATTGATCTGAATAAGAGCTACAGCGATGCGTTAATCATAACAAACGGAAATAAAGAGCCTGAGGGCAAATCGCAGTTTTCGTGAGAATTTATGTTAACAACAGGGAGAAAAGTTGTCATTTTGTTGAGGTTCTGTGTAATGACCTATCTGTGGTGAGCATGGGTAACATTGACTTGATTGGTAAAAGATTAAACTCACAACAGGCAGCCAAAAAGGACCAAGTAGCAATGTCATGGCCCCAGTTACAACCAATGAGAATACAATTGGGTTTCTGAATGACTCCTCACAAGTTTATCAGCGAAATGTTGACGACACTTGAGCAGAAAGTGGAAAGTATTGCAAAGCGACTTTGATGAATAAGTGGTAATCTGTCAGAATTAACATCTTCTTTTACTGTGCACAAGTGGAAGTTGCTTTATTGGTCTCTGATTAAGAAGTCGTGAATGCCGAATCGNATGGCTTGGCTTGACTTCTTAAGCCATACTCCATAATAATTGATGCAATCAGCTTTCGTTTCATCAACTGTGACCAAGGGTGTAAAGCTTTAAAATCCCAGATGTATTGATTGGCTAATTTCCAAGCCAGTGACACACGAATCAAATCAACATGTTCCACGCAATACGTCCGTTTCCCCTCTATCCTTGAGGCAACTTACCTCTCTTTGGAAGACTTTCTATACGCGGGAATCTTGCGAGAGAGTTTAGTGAGGTCGAGGAAAGGATTATGTGAGCGTGGTAATCCTACACAGGTTGGAATAAAGTGAAATTGAGCAACCAATCAGATAATTAATTAAGCTAGCCTTGAATGCAGAATTTATTTGATGGGAGGTGAATATTATGCATCATGAAATTTGTGTCTTGATGTGTTAACGTTCAGTCTGTGAATTTCCGACACTTTAAATTGGATTTGCAATTACTCCCGCTTAAGTTGCCTTCCCATCATTAGGAGTTAAGGCTGTGGAATGAGAAATAGTGGAAACGAAACATAATGTAGTTCTCTGTATTGCCAACCACTCAGCAAATGATAGTAATCAGTTCAACTCGCACTTTTTTACCAAAAGTTCAAGAATTGAATTTGTAGAATTAACTTGCTTTCTATTGATAACTTAGCAGTAGTAAATTTGTTTTACAGACATTAATAGTGCATAAACATGCAAGTTGGAGTATGATATGGGGGAAGATCTCAGTCTTAATTAATTATTGATAAACTATTTTCAAAAAAATATTTGGAACTCATGTGTTGGAGTCTAGTTGGATGGTCACAAGGAAGAAGTGTTTGTCGAAACAACGGTGAGGAAAGAGATGAACATAAAGTAATCATTCCATAGAACAAGTCATGTGGAAAAATTTAACAGTCGAACTAAGTTTATTTCTAGTGGTTGCACTGCTTAGACTCATACCAGTGAAGACTTCACAGACTCACAGTCAAGCACTCACCTTTACTTCGACTCTCAACTAGATCCAATAACTCTCAACTGTCTCAAATCATGTGATCTGAATTATAGAGATGTGCCATTCCTGAAACGACCTTGATCTGCAATCCTCCTTATTGCCCTTTAATTTGTCAATGTCATTTTATCCTTTCATGAATATTACATTTTAGATTTGAACAGTTTTTATTGGCAAATATTATTCAACAACAATCTTTGCACAACTCTGTAAGTCTAGTCGAAGACCCATGTTGTCTTCCTCCTCATGATCATCTGATGAGTATCCACAGACGACTTTGGATATTCAATCGAATGCTGCATATCTGCACATTAGCTTTCGAAAGTAGACATTTCAGTTAGATTTCAACATCCGCATCTTTCCTCTGAACTACAGGGCGCATAAAGATCCAAATTTATATCGACATCTTGACTCGTCGATCTCTCTTTCTCTCTGTCTCTTCTAATTGCCCTTTCATATCTTTTCTCTTCAGTCTCCATTTCTTACGTCTTGTTCCATGCTGAAACTTGAAAGGTGATAGGAGAATCGATACTCAGTTAGACACTGTCTACCTCTACGTAAAGGGGTAAGAATTTTCTGATCCCATTCGATGGCTATTCGGTCTTTGGCACATGGACTGCAATGAGCATTAGTCATCAATGGAATAATCTTCCACTTGGAATAGGCCTTTATGCGAAGATCAATCATCTGCAATAATATATATATATATATATATACAGTTGTTTGCACTTTAAATTCTCTTAGTTCAGTAATTCAACAACTAAGAAATCAGTATAAGTTCGGCCAACTGACGCATTTTCTAATTCTTTCTTTGTGTTCCTACTCACGTCATTACAGCAGACAAATTCTGTGTGTACAAAAACACCAAAATTCAAGTGTTCGCGAATGATTCCATAAAGCCAAAAGTTGTTAGTAGAAGGTGGTTTGAACGTTGCTCACATAAAGTCCAATTTAATTTTTCGTGGATGTGTTGAGGTGTAATCAGCGTTATATCACGGAGGTGGTTGAGTAGTGTATCATTTTAAGCTAATGTCTATTTTTGGAAGGATGAAAGAAGATCCAAACTTCAGATTCGATAGAAAGTATTTGACGACTTTGAGTGATTTTCCTTCTGCAGATGTCCTTGTTGGTGACACAATAGAAGAGCCGGATGATGGGTTGGTTCATATCAGAATCCACTCACTGGCGATTCACAAACTGGTAACAACTGTGTCTGGACTTCCTGAGAAATATCACCTTGGAAGCATTCTCAAGTGTTGCATGAGGACATTCGGTTGCAAAGGTGGGATTAAGCAGAATAACGAATTCAGGGAAGTGATGCTATTACAGGGTGACACTCGCAGTCAAGTATACGAATTCCTGACTAAGAACAGTCTAGTCTCTCCAGAGTGTATTTGAGTGCATGGAAGCTGAAGTCTCTCGCTTTTGCCTCAGTGTAGTTACTATTTTGTTGTTCGTCATTACCTTTGCCATTAAATCTAATTTTATTCTAATGAATCACAACTTTCAGATGATCGATATTTTCCTAAAAATCTTTTTATCTATTTCTATAATTCACTTAGCCTACATATACGTCCCACGTTCGAGTCATGGAGCGTAGAGTGTTGTTGAGATACAAGTTAGCAAGTTAGCTATGTGGGAGAAATGACAGGTGACTAAATGTTTCCATTGAGAAAGAGCAAGATTGAGACTGACATTTAGGATTTGGAATATTGGAGATTATTCGAAAAGAAATTGATCTTTGAGACAGTTGGGCTTAGCCTAAAGCTTTGAGAAGGAGGGAGAGACCTTCGACTGGAGGTCTTTGTTCAACTCTTTAGAGGAATCACCTGTTATTGAAAGAACAATGTCGTATGGAATGCACCATGTAATCAATTCATTCACCATAGAACATTCCGGAAGGTGTGTCGTGTGTGCACCAACCTTTCAGTCAATCCGAAATCCGTTTGAATCCTCCTGAATAACAATGGTTGTTGTTAATGACCAAGGTCGTGGGTGGATTACTCAAAACCGTTGAGAGAATATTGTTGAAGTTCAGTCAAAGATCATTTGTGTCTCTTTTAAACAACCCTCTCTCCTTCACCAATTTCAAAAGACGCCCCAAGTCAAGTTAGACCAGAAGATGGAGAAGATTCACGTTTGGGAACAGTGAAAGATGTGAAATTAACAGTTTAGCCAACGAATGGTGGAAAGCCTGAATTGAATTTGATTTTGTACTTTTCATGGGATCATGTGACTGTCATCCTTATTTTTGCAGCTGAAATACGATTTCCTCAATTTGGTATTCTGTCCTAACCCATTCCATTTTGGGAATACAACAGAAGCTAATTAGAATGTAACCACAATTTGATTGTCCACGGAAGAGGAGTTGAAGATGGAAGTCTATTGAAATGCGAGCTCTTGAAATTTTATGGTGATTTGTTAAGATGATTGTTTTTAGGACAACAAAGAGAAAAGTGAGTAAGCGCTGTGATGGAAGGTGTGGCGGAGGGAGGGGGCGATGGGGAGGTGCATATACATTTATACAGAGTTGATTGATAAGAAGAGAGGCTGTTGATTGGTTGTTGGAGGGTTGTTACTTCCATGATCCAAAGCATATTACAGAGTATGCCGAAACGATCGCTTCCATATACACGATATGAGAGGGACCTCCTTATGTCTGTAGTCCATTTGGTCGACTAATTAGTGTTTTCTTGGGTAATGGGGAGAGGGTGTGGTGAATGCGACTGCCGGAAGTATCACTCGTTGCGTCAACATCAATGAGGTAGCTTTTATTGGAGACTTCAGGCAAGTTGTTATTATTTCCTGAATGCATCATTCCGTGCTGGGGAAAATATGAATCTGACATTGGTAAATGATTAATGGATTTATCGTCTAAAAGATTACAATGGATCAGTGTTATGGGGGTAGCTCATGCAACCAGTGACTTAAAGTTCAAACTCTTACTTAGTGCTTGACAATACTCTTGATCTCTGCTATCACCTGTGGTAGATGGATTGGCCGTATTGGTAACATTGTCTGTTGATTCGTTTGCAGAGTTATATGGGAAACCTCCATCGTCATCATTTCTCTCTGTGCCGTCCCATGTCTGACGTCCACGTTCGCAGAACTCAAAGTCACTCAGCCTTCGCTGAGCCAACCGACCCTGATAGCAACCTTGCATGGTGGCCTCTATGGTACTCAATGTTTCATACTCCTGAAAGTGCATTGGGTGTTGGTGTGGAGGTTGAGTCGTTGCTGATGGCTCGTCTACGGACGGAATACGTCCAGAACGTAAGAGCTCACCGTATTGATTCATGAGAGTGTCGGTCATGAAGGAATCTGGGATGGGTGGTGGTTGGAATACACCTGATACTGGAACAGATGTTGGTCGGTGGCCTTGATAGACTCCAGAAGGCCATCCTGAGTGAAGAGGATCTTGAGTGAGAGGTGAGGAGGGAGAGTGTCTGATGCCTGCGTATCCGGCTCCAGATTGCTGATTACCGTGCAGCATGGAATGTTTTAACATTGATGACTGTGCGAGATCTTCCATGCAGTAACCACCTTTCAAATTTAAAGTACATTTTTAGGTTAATTAAACTGTTCCTTCTCTTTACTGTCCATGATTGCCTTATCATTTGGTTCTTCTGGCTAAGATTATCTTGAAAGTCTGAATACTCAAATGGGCGACTATTACTCACTTATTTCCCCTTCACTACAACTCCTCTTTTTAACAACGACTCATGGCGACTCATGCATTTAATAGATCATTGACCTTACATTACTTAGTTGCTTCTTGAATTTACGTAGCCACCAGCTTTCACCAGTGCCAGAATGGGCGATGCCTTCTATTGCATTCCTTGGTGTGAAAACTGCGATACCGGAGCCTTTTGAACTCGAGAGGATCAAATTTGGCACACGTGAAATTGCATTTATGCACAAGTGGTTCCTTCACAACATAAGCCTGAAAAAGTTTCACTTGATTCGCCACAGTTATTTTGTAAAGCCCTTCAAACCACGTAACTTCTCTGCCGTGTATTTCCCATCAGCAAAATGTTATGTTATCGAGGGTCACGTTTATGTAACAAATTAATGTCCTGTGGAAGATTCAAGTGGTTATCCATGACTATCTTTGAGTGATGTAATCGCAAAAAAATGCATGTAAGGACTTGCCGATCAACAGACCAAAGTAGATACCTGGATAAGCACTAGCCTGACACGAAACTGCACCTCCACTGTTTAGGGAAGCGGAGGATGAATAGGGTGACATCCGATGTGATGTGTGTAGAGGAGGGTTATTGTAGACACCTAGATCTGGGGAGAGTTGGACTGCAGCTCGACTACAAGCTGCGTGAAGCAGTGACAAACTTGGAGGTGTTGATGGTTGATTACAGGCCACTTTTCCAAAGATGCTCTGCGTTGGCTCCAATCCCCGTGGTAGATTATTCATCGCCAGTGAAGGTGTCTTGAATGCTGAATTAATGCTAGAATTTCCTCCACAGTTACCACTTGTAGTCCCAATGCAATTGTTATTACCGGTCTTTTTGCGTTTCTTCCACTTTGCACGGCGGTTTTGGAACCACACCTATGTCCCATAAAGAAGTTTATTCCGATTAGTATTCATTTGAGCACACTGTGTTAGTAAGAAATAAGATAGAAAAGTTTCAATACTGAAATATCCATACAGAACTATTAAAGTTCAAACTTATCTCTCACTTTACCTGGCATTGTTAGTGTATATCAGGTTAATGTATATGTCATTTCGATTTTATTGGGCGTAATCTCTGACGCGTTCTAATAGAGGCAGAATTCGAGGTTACCCAATGTTTCAGTCTGCTGGAGTGCTACCAATGCACAGAGGGATTTCCTCTCTAGGTTATTTCTAAAGTGCTCGTGTATAGGACATTATTCCCATGATCTTGTTTGGTACGATTTGAGAGACTGAGTAGACAAAGTTTGATCTTTACGTTTCAACCCCAACCCCATTGTTTATGGGTTTGCACTTGGATTGCCGATATTCCACAATAAAGCTGTTTCTTGCCCAAACCAAGACCTGTCGATGAATTTGATTCCTCTTTGCTTTGCCATAGTGACATATCAACTATTCATTCACGGTTGTCACTTTCTCATTCTAGCAGACACCAACAGATGTCAACACTACCAACCACTTAACCCCCAGACCGTCCTCGTAACCAGAATTATTTAGCTGTTTTTAAATTATTATTTTAAAATTTCCTTCTTTCCCTTTTTTTAATGAAAATGCAGAAGCCACACGAGCACATACATCTAGACAATGAATTTGGTTGCTTGCGCGCGTAAAGATGGTCGCATATCACGCGAGGCAAACCTCATTCTCTGATTCTCGGCTAACGCGTATATGTCGAGAAAAAGGGGGGTAGGGTTAGAAGAGATACTTCGAGGACAGATTTCCTCCTCTCCCTACTGGGTTTGTTCTTGCATCAGTGTGCGTGCTTCGAGATAGCCATGTAACCAACCAATCAGTGATGTTGGGTGATTAGTCGGTATCTTGCTGGTCCGAGTAAACGCAGATCGCGCGAATAGGCGGACATAAACCTGAACACGGACGCACGGCGTACTGCCCTTGATTTATGCTCAATTGCGCAGTGCACCCAAAAAAAGTTCATTTCTTGAGCACCTCCCTTTAACTATCTATCTACGATTAGAAGGTGGTAGGGATGAGGGGGCTGGTACATATGTGCCCTCCGAGAGCCGAAGTGCTGTCTAATTGCTGTCGTCGATTTCGGGTTGAGAACTTCGGACGGGGTGGGCTAGAGTGAAGTGGATTTTGTCTTGGGGAAGATGAGGATGGGGGTGAAATAGGGAAGAGGAACAGATGGGGGAAAAACGACATTGTTTTTCAACAGACACGTCCGATTTTGCAATTCTCCAAACCATTCCTATTTGAACTCCAAAAAATTACCTTTTTTCTATTCACTTAAATACTTTTTGATAAATTAACGCCTTTTCTTTAAATAAATTCAAGGGAATTCCAATCTGTCCTCCATAGGTTGAAACTCATTTTAACATTCTTACCATGGGACTTACGAATTAAAATAAATAAAGTAATCGGCCGTAAACTATAATATTAGAAGATCAGATGAGAGGATATAAAATTTCATTTTTTAAGTAATTCACAATAGTATTAGTGGGTTTGGGAAAAAGCTGAAAGTTTAATAACTGTCTTAGAGCAGTCTTCCATATCAAGCGCAGTGCCGCTAATTAAAGAACGCCGTTCCATTACGAGTTGGTCTGACAAATGCTACCTAAGTTATTGGATCTGAAAGACTTAATACAATGACTTTCATGAACAATCACATTTCGATATATCAACCCACTTATTTTAGCCAACTTATTGATAGTAAAGTGTACTTAGTAAGAATCCAGAAATGAAAAAAAACAGATATTAAGCTTTAAGTTAAAGAGAAATTTAGACATCGACCGTCGAAGCACATTCGCGTGAAATTGGATATTTTCCTTGATTGTGGTCATAGGATATGAAAAATTCACTTCTTGCCCACATGAAGCGAATTCGAATCCAACCGATGAATGAATTCTCTGGAATTACCAAATATGAACCACTAATTTTAATTGAATTCTATTGATGCAGTCCCTCAGTATTCTCGGCTCTTCGAAATGCTAAATGATTATGAATTCCGGATCTAGGATTTGAGAAATTCGTTTTTGTTCCTCTCGTAAACACGGGGCTTGTCAAAGACAGATACATTTGCGTATTCGCCATTTGTAGTGAAAAGTTGTCTACGTGTGATGTAGCACAATTTTATCCCCTCCGATCAAGTTGGTTAAGAATTTTTTTGAAATAAAATAAATCCAATTAAATCATTTAAATGAAGATAAATTAACTAATAATTAGCTCCTGACCACGTTTGTATACCGCGTGACTCATGACCAGAAAAGTTGTAGTGCCGACTAGTAGTGAGCACAAAATTCCACTCTTTGGGAGGAAAAGGGGAAGAAAGGGAATGAGGAGAGCTGAGCAATCTTAATTAGTCGTGATGGCGCTAGCAGTTGTCTGCTTCCCCTTCTACATTCCACTACCTCCATACTTCATCCATCTTCCTCCTCCTCCTCCTCCTCCTCCTCCTCCTCCTTAACCTGCTTTAAGATGCCTGAGATAGGTAGGCTTATTAGAACTGACAGCAGAAATTACACATCGTATTTATCTTTCGACTCAAATGGAGAAAAAGAATTTGAGAAAAGTGTTACAAGTTTGATTGTTGCTGTGCTGAATGCTATAGAAAGGAAAATATTAGCTTAGTTATTGTGTTATATTATAGGAATCGTGGTTAAGTACACATCTTGAGTTTCAAAGCGCTCTCTCTACTTGAGAAATAGCATATATTTATGGAAAAATAGTAACGCCAAAGATTAATTAAATACTTTAGAAATATTCGTTAACATATAATTCGACAATAGGGTGTTAATATCACTGTGCAATTTCAATAAATATCTACTTGAAGGTTCTTACTGCTAAGATTAGAATCTTTAGAATATAATTACTAATCGAAATTTAGAATTTTAATCATCAATTGAAACCTGCTTGAAACCATTTTGAAATGAACTGAGCAATCATTCCGACGAAGTATATACATTGGAAACATGAATTCTTTCAGGATTACAATTGAATATACTGAAATTGTTAATTTAAGTGAAATGGTTTTATTTATTTACCTTTTAAGTCTTAAAAATTTTGGCACTTTGATTTTACTCTCAATTTTTTTGACATCAATTCAATCCGTGTTGAACTATTTTTATCTTCCTTTAGCTCTATCGTCTTCCTCTGTTCATAATTTGATACATGTTTTGCCTTATTGTAAGCAATTATGAAGTTGCTATATTATAAAATGTTGGGCAAGTAAATGGAACGTTTATTGTTAATGATAAAATTTGCATGTTTACTAAAAATAGTTAATTAGCAGGATCGTTGACTTGAACAACTCCAGGAAAAGTCAATCTTTAAGGCAATTCCACTCTTTTATTGGTTAATTGGGAGTCGTGACTAGTTTGGAGGTGAACCAAAGGAGCGAGAACACACTAGTTATCATCTCCGACAATTTACACCACTCGAAACAGCCTTTGATTTCACAACAAACAGCATATTGCGCACTCTTAACACAACTTTAGAGAGCTTAAAAGAAGAAATAACGATTTATATGGCCCTTTCGACTGCAAATTCTGTTGAAGCAGCCAATTATGACATACATTTACTTCCAGCAGTTAGAGATAGTCCAAAGTGACAAATCTCCAACACTATGGAATCTACCATGTCTAAAATAGTTCCAGCACAACCTGTTTGAAAGCAAACCTTGCCTAAACAACAGTGAGTTCCTATTTCCCGTCGGTCTGCCCACCAGAAAAGTGAGAATTACTGCCCAGAAAGACATAGGGAAGGTTGTTGCACTTCCTCCTCCTTCAGAGCAACCAAAAAGCCCACCAATATCAAGACTCCAAATGTTCATGGTTAGCTTAATCACATTCGAGCTAAATCTATCCTGGCGGTCGGCACAATCGCAAGGATTTCGTAGTTATGACTACCAGTAAATCAAATAAATGCTTGTATTAAGCACGGGATTTTTTCGTGATATCTATAAGGCTAAATTTCCTATGAATTTCACCGACTGATTTAAAGGTGCGCAATAGAAACGTAGCCCGTAGGTGAGGACTTGGAGTATAGTAATTGAACTAAATACTGACGTAGTAAACAGGTCCTTAGAAAAGAAAAATATCGTTTATTCCACACGATCAACAAAAGGAGCAGTAAATCCCAGTACTAAAATCCAAGTTGGAGATTTGTAACTGCTAAGCCGTTTGTGTATTAGAGCCATACACTACTGAGGTAGAAATACCTTCAATCGGGAGGAGCTTGATGGAGTTGAACAATTTTTATGCAGGAAAACTTACTCTGACAAACTATTGGTGATTAATTCTAAATATTTTCCATTTGTTAAAATGTGATCAATAGTTGTGCTGTTACCTTCAGGAATATTGGAATAGTGACTGTGTGGGGTCTGGGATTGATGGCTATTTGAGCGCCTAATCTGGTAGCGACAAGAACATACCAAGTAGTTATTTCTATTTAACTTTTTCAAATATGGGGTGTGCAATAGACTTACCTCCACGTGGTGCAACCTGGGCAACGTATACTCATACGGCAAAAAGGTCTATTAATTGGCAGTTGACTTCTCACTTAAAAAAACTATCACCCCACTGTATGTCATATTCGACTACTTTCACAGTACTCACTTCACCTTTTTTCTACCCTTGTGTTTGTCTCTTTTACATCTTTGAAGCACTCTTCTATCCCCCCTCCTATCGACTTTTTCAATTTGATGTTCCTTCCCCTCTGTGAAGCCTGAAGTCAACTAAAGGGCTAATGATAACCAACAAGACGTCTGCCATTTGGTATAAATAAATAAATACTTTTTCAAATATTAGAAACCCAAAATATAGCCAACGGCCTCTTTTACCAATGATGCAGGAGTGACAAATTTTTTCACTAGGATTATGTATGAATCTTAAACTACATCTATATCNCCCCGACCCACACTCTCCTATGACAAATTTTTTGAAGTAGCCTCTACCTCCTTTCTACCTTCAGTGGTAGAGAGCTTTGAAAAGGATGCCCTATCGAATTCCTCTGCATCGTACTGATGGTAATTTACCACGCGATAATGACGATACTTTCCATCTGGGGCATAATCGATCGCTACACTTTCCAACTATTTTATACTGATGCAAGAGTGTACACAACTACATATTCAGAAACAAAAAATATATAATTTTAGCAAACAAGCGCGCACAACAGCCAAGAGAGCTGATAAAAAAACTAGAACGAGAAAAATTCTGATCAACTGAACAAGGATGTTTAAAAGCACACAAGTGCAAACATGTAGGAGGAAAGACAGCTGTACAATAATAGCGGAATCCTCGAAAATTAACTTATGCGTCTACATCCACAATAAGGTGAACTCGTTTCAATCACACTAAACATTGGACCAATCAGATCTCATAATTCGTATCCTATCATAAGACCGTCCCACAAAATAGGCTCAACATAGAGTTGTCTGCGGCAGAACAAAAGCTAGCAATTGCACGAAATCTGGCTTTGTCCTTTTACCGCCTACCCCACCCCTTCCCCCATCTCAAGATCAGGTGTAATCTCATTACAATTGTGCAAATGAGTTTTGCTCTGCACTCAACTTTCTGATTAATGAGAAGTTCATGGCTTCAACCAAACGCCTACAATTTCATGATTTTGGTTCAATTTCTAACATATCTATCCCAATTTCAATCATAATCCTTTGAAAATTGAACCAAATATCAACTTATCTGGCATGTCTACAATCACAAAATCAAAGTCAACTAATCCTGGTGCAAATTCTGATTGCCAAACTTAGCCAAGATCCGCAAACAGTTGATCAACCCACTCAAATGAAAATTTAGAATACTCCCAGCCTATCAAAACCTAAATTTGACTAGCATGTATTCCTTAATCAAAGTGTTATATGAAAGCTATTTAAGCACCACGAAAATAGGTTTAAATGGGTATAAAACAGAAGCCAAAGGGAAATAAATTACATTCAACTTACAACCACCATTTCTCCTAGTTAGATCTTGTTTATTAGCACCAGGCATGGGTCCAAGTACATCTCTGGATTCCCCATATCCTCTATTTTGAGCAATGTTACCCCTTCCTCCCACATATGCCCTCCCCTCTTCCTCCTCCTCTTGCTCGTGTTGCTCCATCTCCTCCTCTCCATAATCGGGTTCCTCACGGAGAGTCAAATCATCGCACACCTGATCATCAAACTGATCAAAATCTGCCAACCGACCGATGCCTGCATTCGTTGGCTGAACTGCTGTTGTGCTCGTCACCACATCCATGTCTGTGTCCATTGTGGTGTCGTTACGCTGGGAGCCGAAGGCTAAAAAGTAACGAAACATGATGTGATGAGTATTGGAGGTGATTTATATTTGACTGCGAGGAATAAACGCAATACGATGTAACAATATCTACGAAAGAAAGACTCCAACTAAACATGGAATTATATAGTGGGATGGTAGATAGGAGAGAGAGAACAATGGAAGTGACTGTGCATTCATTGTGGGTAGCCTAGCAACTCAAATAGCTAGGTATGTTGGCTTAAAGACAATAAAACAGTTATAATCGGAAAAGGTGCATTTTGAAGTTTGTCAATAACTCGATTGGTCTGTTGTTCCGATGATGAAAATGGTTAGCTGTTGCACTGTTATAGATGCTCTTAATGGAAATACCATGTTATCAAATTACGAAACTCCTTTTCACAGAAGTAGCTAACATTTTGAGTGCTCAAGTAAATAAAGTCAAATCAATGGCATCTTAGTGAACTCCATCTCATGTGTTGTGGTGAAATTTTGTTGCCACAATAAAACTCAAGTGCATAATCTAGGCCATGCAATAGGTAACCATTACATAAGTCAGATCACTTTATTCTAATAAAAAGGTATTTGTTTAAACAAAACCATCCGTCTTTGGTAATAAATTAATTGGATCAACAGATTGTATCACCGATGAGATATAGAAAGGAGAAGAATAGCTTTCTAAATGGCGCTTAATAGAAAACTGAAAGCGATTTATGGAATTTGGAGATCTTGAACCTAAGGCCAGCGATTGATGCGTAACGCAAGTTGCAATTAACTCTGTCAAGACTTAGGCCTTTAGAAATGCTACGTCCAACCAATCTTGACCCACAAAGATACCTGTTCGAGTATCTTAAACCTGTCAGAATTAAATGATAGGAAATGTGGTCAAGAGTTTAATGTGACAGAATTTAAAATAATCTAAAGCATTAATCCTACCAGAAGAATTAACTCTTTTTGCACGCGAAAAAATCATGCCTTAAAGTGTTATGGTGATAACCTGGCACATTCGTAGACCTTATAAACCACTGAAGATTTCAATATGGAATTGCTTTAAACGCGCCCACTATATAGACTTCCAAATCATTTTCCATCTTCATTGGCTTTATCGATATTCATTTAAAGACATTTATGTGCGTATATCAAACCCCAACTTGACCTCTCAATAATCTAGGCACTTGTCAATTGGCGCAATTAGAAATAAATCAAATTAATGGCCTTGGCAAAGAAAAATCAATAATTTTAAACTATAATTGCGTTAAATTCGCAAAAAGAAAATAGACTCCATGAGAAACACTCCCTAAGGCTGTCACAAATTTGCATGTGCTAAAGAGAGCTGCAGCAGAAAGTAAAAAAATGTAGTCTGAATAAATGCTTTTTTCCAATCTAGCGCGCAATTTCACATTATTAAGCACTGAAATTAGCATATCTTTATAATAAATATATGAACAACACCGACTATCATAATGGTAAGTAGTTATTGGAAGATGCATTACAGTTAAAGTGCGAATATGACAAATGTAGCATTAATCCTCAACGCCAAATGTAGCTGAGTAGCTAACGAGGGACAATATATATTTGACATCCTAACAATTCTAGGGTTCACAGATGCAATTGCGCTCACATGATATCCCCATTCTCGCTACTAATACTCCAATCCGCGTGCTTTTCTCAATTCTTCCAGGTTTAGATGCTCACTGACTAGCTAAATTAGTAACAAATGTAAATATGAATTAACCAATTACAATGTCAATGGAGTGCTCGATAGACTTACCTCCAAGTGGTGCATACGGAAAAAAAATTCTATAAACCAGCAATTGACTTTTGACTCCAAAATACAGACTGTATGTCATATTCCACCACTTCCACAGTACTCACCTCACCATAACTTTTCCTCTACCTTTGTGTCCGTCTCTTCTACATCTATGAATCAAACTTCTGTTTCCTCCATCGACTTTTTGCGACTTTTATGTTCCTTCCCCCGGGGTGTGCGATAGACTTACCTCCACGTGGCGCACCCTGGGAAACGTATATTCATACGGCAAAAAGTCTATTAACTGGCAGTTGAATTCTCACTTAAAAAAACTATCACCCCACTGTATGTCATATTCGACTACTTTCACAGTACTCACTTCACCTTTTTTCTACCCTTGTGTTTGTCTCTTTTACATCTTTGAAGCACTCTTCTATCCCCCCTCCTATCGACTTTTTCAATTTGATGTTCCTTCCCCTCTGTGAAGCCTGAAGTCAACTAATGGGCTAATGATAACCATCAAGACGCCTGCCATTTGATATAAATAAATAAATACTTTTTCAAATATTAGAAACCCAAAATATAGCCAACGGCCTCTTTTACCAATGATGCAGGAGTGACAAATTTTTTCACTAGGATTATGTATGAATCTTAAACTACATCTATATCGGACTCTACTCAATATAAAATCTATTTATATTCTCAAAGGATTAGTGATTACGAATTTAATTTGAAGAATTCGAATTTTCATTTGCAGCTAATAAAGTTACAAGTAGTGGGGAAACTTTTTGTTCTAGAACATGTCCGAAGACTTTGAGACGAGTCAGCGAGAAGGAGATAGTTGAGACGTTGAGCATGTCCCCATCTACCCTGAGAATGTAATCTTTTCCGCCAGTAGGCGCGTGAGATGTCATGAAACCGCGACTGGCTGCGGACAAAAAATATCAAGGCTTCACGATAGCTACGCATACTCGCAGTTAAACAAACGTGACCACGACTTGTCCTTTTCCACCTCCTACTGCAACTCGAAGACTGCACGAGAATTTTGACACCTCAACACAAGGCGATTACTCATTCTTAACATTTACCTCCTCGTTAAATGATGCCCGATTTTATCGGCTGTTCGAAACGACCGACTTACCCACTTAAATACCCACGTGTGTTGAGATTATTAAGTGCGAAAGAGTCTTTCATATCTAATTAAGTCAATTAACTATTATAATAAATGTAAAATTTGTTATTTGTGTAGTCACAAAGTAAAAGAGAGTCTCTTTTAATGCAAACTATAGATAATGGCGAAATTCATTTAAGCATTTAAACACAAATTACATATTTTAATGACTAATTACTTTTCATTCTGTTGTTTAATTTTTCGTTCTTTTAGCCTTACGAAATTGTTTTTGCGAATTCAAATTTAAAATTTTCGACTCATGTCCATTGTTTATATTGTATCTTAAAGAAAACAGTGAAGCTTTCGCTTTTATCCAATTAAATTCAGACAAAGGAGTACGATATCATGAACTGACACCTTTCATCCTCTTCTCAACTTTGAACGCGACGGTAAAAATATGGATGTAGGTGAGTTTAGAGTAGAACAGTGTGAATTAAAGTAGTCGATAAAAAATTTTCGCTGTTTCAATAAAAGCAGCACTATAAGAGGAAATTGAATTACCTTGAGTTCATTGAATTTGACAAGAATGTATTTGTTTATATACTCTGCAAATTTAAACAACTGTAGATGAGTAGGCTACAATATCACAAGTCTCAGCACTTTTAAGAGTGCGGTCTTCTAATGCTCAGTTGAGAATTTTAATTCCTTCTCAACCTCCTTCTCCTTGATCATCTTAACCAAAATCGATTGGTCTTAGAATTCGCTAATAATTCAGTACCGAAGCCTCTGAATCCCAAAAAGAGAGAGCTTTGCTCAAAGTAAAAGACCATTCAATTCCTGCCTGTTTGCGTTAATTATTAAGAATAGAATGGCGTCATAATTTGCTCTATCACTCAAACTGTGTGGATATTATTCACATCAAAGTCAAAACCATCTGCAGTGTTTCATCTCGGGGTGGGTGGGGCGGATACAATAGGTCGATTAAATGTGTATAAGGAGTGAATATTTGATTTATTTTAAGACGAGGGTTAGAGAATATTGAAGTAATGGTGGTTCACTACTTCATGTTTGAAAACCACTTAGTCTGATTCATCTACTGAATTTTCGATCAGATTCTAATTCACAATTTTCAATTCCCGTCGATAGGACATTTAATTATGATAATATATCCCACAATTCCACTCAAATCTCTTTGCTTAAAAGCTGATATTCTATTCAAATTTCATTATTTAACCAATGGAGAAAATATCATTGCTTAATTCTAAAACTAGGAAATACTTTGAAGATAATGTCTGAGAAGACGAGAAGAAAACCAGACTCAATACAATGTGCTAACTTGATGTTTCGACATCAATATATTTGTTTCTATTGGCAAATAATATGTAACAATGTCCTACCTGAACACGAGATTCGGTGAGTCCTATTCTTAGCGCGAGCTCTTCTCGCATGAAGATATCTGGGTAGTGAGTTTTGGCGAATACCCTCTCAAGCTCGTTCAACTGACCTGGAGTGAAACGCGTTCGATGTCGTTTCTGTTTTGCCGACGCTGCAGCCGCGACAGCGGCCATGGCGGCATTATTGATCGCTGAAGCAGAGGAATTGGCATTTCCACCATTTTGAGAATTGTACCCGACCAGAATATGATAGCCATCAAAACCACTGCCACTTCCATTGTTATTTTGAGGATTCTTAGCAAATTGACTTTGCGAAAAACTCTCCTCATCTTCGCCATCATCTGTGCCAAGATTATCAGCTTCAAATTCATTGTACCCACCGCTACTATTTGTTGTAGCCTCTAGTTTTGGAAATGCAGTTTGATTTGCACCTATACCAATTGTGCGTTTCAGAATATCACTGTAAATTCGGCCAAGTTTTGCATCAGTCGTTTGCTGAGGTTGCTTAATGTCATCCACCGTTTTCTCGCCGCCCTCATTCGATGTCTAAAGAGAAATTTGGGCAGCTTTCCTCAAAGACACACACTGAACATGCAGATGCCTATTTATTGTGGTTTTCTGCTCTCTTTATACTTATTTTCACTAACTCTATTCACGATAAATCCCATTTATCTACCTGCGTCACATTTTAGTTTAAAATCTATAAGATCTTAGAAGACTTGTGTTCGTATAAATAGACAATGAATGTCAATTTATTCAAAATTAATCCAATTCTACATTGTTAATACCGAAATGAGTTTAGAATAACTTTTCACTAGCGCGTTCGGCAAAATAATTAGATCAACGAGTTAAAAAGAGAAATTACAATCAACGAAAACAAGAATCGGATGATAAAGTCCTGCGCGTTGTTTTCTTCAATAAATTCGACAGTTTTAAATGGAATTGTCAGGAGTATAGCCCCTCCCCTCCCCCCTGCCCTCAGGCAGCATTTTAATCCGCATTTTAATTTTGTCCCATGGAATGTTCAGAATACGCGGTGGGTGGCAAGCCGATAAGAAGGGTTGTGTGGGGTGAGTTAAGTGGAGAATTGAGTTGGTAATGGATACAGACTCGACTTATCTACCCCCCTCCCCCCATCCATCCCACCCCCCCCCCTCTCTCTGGTACAGTACTCTTCGTCCCCTGCATGTGCATGTCAAAAGGAGGCTTGGACAATGCACAAACTCACCCCTTCAGTCGGATGCAATTAAGGTCATTCCTCACTTGAGGTATGCTTAGGGCGTCACCACCATGCAAGGCTGGTTAGAATCAGCCTCAAGTAAAAGCACATTTAAAAGTAATTTGTCCTAATTCAACTGCAGTCTGTTCACTACCTCACCTTGTCTATTTCCAAATTGTGATAAATACCACAAG